TACACAAAAATTCTGGTATAATAAATTTTTACCCTAGTGGGTTTTTTTTGAGAAAACTTTTATCACGGAGAATTTCAATCATAAGAAGTAAACAGTATTATGTAATGAACCTCTATATACTTATCACCCATCTAAGAAGGTTATTAATAGCTTTAAATAGTAAAGTATCTAGATGTCAACCCATAGGAGACAATTAAATAAAAAGTAGTACACCTAGCCCACCAGTGTGGCTCAATGGTTGAGCATCAACCTATGAACCATGAGGTCAAGGTTCAATTCCTGGTCAAGGCACATGTCTGGGTTGTGGGCTCAATCCCCAGTGTTGGGTGTGCAGGAGGCAGCCGATCAATGATTCTCTCTTATCATTGATGTTTCTATCTCTCCCTCTCCCTCTCTGAAATCAATAAAAATATATGAAATTTTAAAAAATGAGTACAAACAATATATTTTATATATATACATAGTATGTAAAAGCGCAGGAAAGGGTCTGAAAGGATTCACACTTAACTGGTATTAGCAATTTTACCTTAGGGGTATGGGAATTGAAAAGACAGTCAAGGAGACCATTTATTTTATGCATATGATCTGAACCTTTTGTGAGGAGAAGAAATTTCTATTACTTATATAGTACTTGAACATTTAGAATATGATCCATGGGTTCTACCTCTGGTAATAGTGTTTTAAGTATCTCCCCCCAGGCAGTACATTGCTGAACATAAATGGGCAAAAGGAAGAACAGAGATGACTGGAAGATAGAAGATGAACTACAGCAATATAGTAGAAGCAGTTGAGAGAGAAATCTGTCCATCTAGTCTAATTAGAAGTTAGAAGGACATAAACGTTAAAAGAGATCTGAGAAGCAGATCAGCAAGCATTTGAAACTATTATTTATGTAAAGTAGTTGGTAGGACTTAGAACAGTACAATACAAAATAAGGTCAGGATTAGGTTTAAGATTTTGCATTTATTAATCATCTGTGGCTGACATAGTTCACTCTCCCTAACAAGGAAAGATTGGCCATTCAATACGAATATGCTTGTGTAAAATATTGTGATCAATTGTACATACACACAAATAGGCTAGAAGAACATGCTTATTCTGTAAACATGTACACAAATTTGATGACTCTTCAATTAATTCTTTTGTTTCCTAGACTCGGCTTGAGAACCACTAAAATACTAAAAATATAGAAACATATAAACTTAGGCAAACTAAATCAGCCTGCCAGCAAGTATTGTCCTTTCTGAATCTACCAGACAACAAGTTACGAACTTAAAAATTGGAACTAGCTGCTCTTGATGTTATTATTTAGAAGGACTTCTCAATTACCTGATACTTGAAACTTCTCTGAAATCAATAAAATGATATTTTATAAAAGGAAAAATTAGTTCAGATCTATGTGTGTGTGTGTGTGTGTGTGTGTGTGTGTGTGTGTGTGTGTGTTATTGTTTTAAATACACACTGCATGGCTCTCCTGCACGCCCCACACTGCAACCAGGGCATATGCCCTGACCAGAATCAAACCATGACCTCCTGGTTATAGGTCTATGCTCAACCGCTGAGCCATGCTGGTTGGACTGCACTTTGTTTTTATGTTTTTATTTCCCAGTTTCTAGAACAGTGCCAGGCATGTAGCAGCTGGTTTTAACCAAAGTTTATTGAATGAAAAAAGTGACTGACTGAATGAAGAGTGTATGAAAGCTACATTACTTCTCTTGAAAATTTCTGGAGATTCCTTTACTTGTTGACTATACCTCTTTTAGTTCAAGAAATAATGGGCTACTTATTTAGAAGACAAGTGTGTGTGTTCTGAAAGGTCACTTGAATACTTTCCGGCCACTGATTTCACAAAGAGTTTTGAGAAGTTGGATAACCAGGATGCATCTCGTTCTAAACCCCTTTATAGTTCTCTATGTCTTATCTCAGACTGTGAGCACTTTGAGGGCCAAGATTATTCTTTGAATCCCTCCACAGGATTGACCACACCATCATGACAGTGGATACTAAATAGATATTACTGAATGAATGAATAAATGCTGTCTGATCATTTTGACTTAGAGAATTTCTCTCTAAAGAGTTTCTTGTTCCCATAGCATGTCTTCCTCTTTGATGCAGTTCTCATGGCAGCATCATAGAAAATTCCTGATTCTCCCTGCTCAGAGGCCATCAAGGTTGATGAGGATGGTGTAGTCCCATTGTTGTTGCACTTCTCACAATGTTTACTCTCTCATGAAAATCTAATTAATCTGTTATGCCCCCACATTCCGCTGAGGACTAAACCAAGGGTGATTTTTCCAGGTTTCTAATCTCTTAAATTGCCTATGCCTCAAAGTTCTCCCCATCCTCATTATTGGCAACACCTTGAAGTAACTGAAAATTATGCCGGAGAGAAAACACAGTTGTATGGGAAGGTCCTTGCCTTTGGACGTGTAGCAAAACAGCTCCTGATTCGAAGAAACAAAATCTTTTCTGCTTCATGAACCAGTGAAAACCTAATAAAAGTGTGTCTCCCCTGGGCATTTTACATCATTAGCATCCTGGCTTCATGCTTCACTTTAACAAATAACTTATTTTAAAAGTTTCTCCAGGGAGAAGACAAGGAGCCAAAAATATCTTGGAAAAAACTTTACTTAGCAACCTGATAAGGCTGTTTCATACAGTTTCTAAAATTCATGTAGCCAAGTCTTTGTGATGTTTTAGTTTCTGATTTTGATATGCACTGAAACCTCTTCAAGGCTAAGCGAGGAATGTAATGCTTTACATGTGAGTAACATTTTATGGTTTTCGTAGTACATTTATTATAAATACCATGACCATAATCAATCACTACTATATCTTAAGACATAGTAGGCAAACCTGGTGGGCAAACCCGGGCACGCGTGCCAAACATGGCACACCAATAACTTTTGCTGGCATGCAAAACCCTCTCTTATAATCTTCCATTTACAATTTTTTTCTTAATATCGACTTTTTTATTTTTCAGATAAATTCAGTGTAGGTGCATCTTAGATAAGTAAATAATTTTACGTAACAAGTTATCTTAAACACACGGAGTCATAAAGTTTTCTGTCGGATTATCGGTGTACATGTATACATTAAAAAATAAATGTATTTTTCATCATCATATACTGTGTTTTTGTCGCTCGAATGAATTTTATTATTTCTTCAAGGTTCTTCACCTACGTACACCTTAAGTAGGTGTAACATGTTCTCAAAAAATTAGGGTTGGCACGCAGAAGAATTCTGAGTCAGACATTTTGCTGGTTTTCGTACGCACTCACAAAAAGGTTGCCCACCCCTGTCCTAGGACATATGCTAACTATTTTACATATGTACTACATGGAACTTAATCTTTGCTACAATTCTATGAAGAGATATTACAAGCCCCATTTTATTAATGAAGAAACTGAGGTTTTCAGGAATTAAGTAACTTGCTCAAAGTCATACAGTTGGTAAATGGCTAAATCTGGATTTAGCTAACCTTCAAACCTACAGACTTATTTCACTCGGTAAGAATCTTACAAAGTTAAATGAACCAGTTACTCTTTTCCTTTTATATGTACAAATCTCCTGATGTTTATGTTTGTATCCATCTTTTTCTTTCCTTCTCAAAAAAAGCCAACCTCCTCACATATTCTGTATCCCTCTCACCCTCCTGCTACATGTGCTTTGAGGTCCTGGCACCACCTTGCTGCACAACTCCAGGAAGGCTATTCACAAGGAGATCTCTGTGGGTGGCCCCTCATGAAGTAAGACTTCAGATTGCAAGTCTCCAGTTTGTGACCACCAGCTCTGTGGACTTCCTCCCCTCTCACCTTATCAAGAGCTCCATCTCCCCTTCATCATCAATCTCTCTCTCATAGATTATTATCATCAGCATACAAACAAACTTACAATTAACCTTTGGAAAACATGGGATTCGGTACTCTCCACAGTCAGAAATTCAGGATAACTTTTTGAAAATATATATTTTTATTGATTTCAGAGAGGAAAGGAGAGGGAGCAGAAACATCAATGATAAGAGAGAATTATTGATCGGCTGCCTCTTGCACGCCCCCTACTGGTGATGGAGCCCACAACCCAGGCATGTGCCCTTGACCTGAATCGAACCTGGGACCCTTCAGTCCACAGGCTGATGCTCTATCCACTGAGTCAAACCAGCTAGGGCCAGGGTAACTTTTGACTCTACAGTTGGCTTTTCATATCCCCAGATTTAACCAACTATGGATGGAAAACAGTATTTTGGATCCACAGGTAGGAATCTGTGTTTAGGAATACAAAAATATTCTTTTCTTTCTGAGGTGAGCTGAATGCTGTGCAAAATCCTCAGATACAGAGGACTGACTCCGTTGAAAGAAATCTGAGTATAAGTTGTCTTGGGCAATTCAAACCCATGCTGGTCAAGAGTCAACTGTACTATCCTCTGTACTTGCCTTAAAGACAAACAAAAAACCCCAAGAAACAACAACAATCAATCACTCTTGACTCAATATTCCTCTCTTGTTTAATTTTACAGCAGCAGTCAATATTTACCATCTTGAAATATGCCATCTCTTTCCTTATTTTCCTAATTCTCTAGCCACTATTTCCTCTCTCTTTCCCCAGACATTTTTTTCCCTACCCATCCCTAAATATGAAATTTCTTCAGGCCTTGATGTGAGGCTTCTTTTTTTCTCTTTCTATATTCTCTTCTTAAATTACCTCATCTATTCTGGTGATTTAAAATACTCCCGAATTTATATTTTCACCCCAGGTCTTGCCTCTGAGTCCTATTATTATACTCAATTTTCTCCTTGACAACTCCCTTGGAATGTTTTACAAGCCTGTTAGACTTGTCAACTAAAACACTAGTGTCCAAGTTCAAAGAGATTTTTAATGTATTTATTTCAGCCTGAGAAGGCTATTACAAGCAGGACTTACGGGGGGCGGTGCCTCCGGGGACGGGGCTGCATCAGGCCCCGCCCCGCGGGCTCTAGGCCCCGCCCCCGCGAGCTCCCGGCCTTTCTTTCCCTCCTCCCCGTGCCTTCCCATCCTCTTCCCAGCAGCCCCAGCGCCGGCGGTCCTCAAGATGGCGGCTGACAGTGAGGTGAGGGGGTCGCTCCCTGTCCGTTCCTGCCCGCAAGCGCGCTCCTCTGCCTCAGCGCCTGGACGCTCACTCTCTCTTTTCTTCCCTCCCTCCCCGCAGCCCGAGTCCGAGGTGTTTGAGCTCACGGACTTCACCACTGCCTCCGAGTGGGAAAGGTGAGTGAGTCGTGTCATTGGTTCGCAACACCTTGGGCCTCGGCTGGCGTCCCCTCCGCCGCCCCCTCGGCCCTGACCGCACGTGACGTCACTGCTCTGTGAAAAGCGAGACCCCGGGGTCCCCGGTCCCCGCCTCCTCCGTCTCGGGGCAGCCGAACGCCTCTTCCGCGTCTGGCGTCTGACAAGCCGGGGCCTGCCCCCGGCCGCGGAACCCCGAGGCTCGGCTCTCAGACAGAGTTGTGTTTGTCCTCACACCACTTTCCTCGGACCTTGGTCGTTGCCCACACACACGGTTTCCGTGGCTGCCACTTCCGCACTATTTCCGTGTATGTTTAACTCGTGGACTTAAGCAATACACTTCGCAGCTGCCTTTTTCCTTCCGCGTCACGTGAGAGAACCCTCTGGGGAGAGGCCGCCGGCGCACTGACAGGTGGTGTCCGCCGTTCCGGCCCCTGCACTCTCACCCCGTCCTTTCCAATGGCCTTTCCGGGGTCTGCATCTGGCCGTCCACCGGCCCCTGCCCTCCCACCCCGTCCTTTCCAATAGCCTTTCCAGTGTCTGCGTCCGACCTCGGGACGCGTTGACGCCGTGGGTAGTGTGCCCCGGCCCCCTGTGCCTGCCCAACACTGAACAGCGGAAACTGTTGTGCCACTGAAGTGAGGGTTGCACGCTTAGATGAAGTTTAGTGTTCGGTGCCCCAGAAACCCTTCAGCTTCCCGGGTTTCGAGTGTGAGCGAGCTCCCTGCAGCATTTTGTCGTCTTTCCGGCTGGGAGAGGTCACTTGTGGATGTCATGTCGTTAAAAGGTCTCAGCGGGAATAACAGCTTGACCTGTGGGATCTTCCAGCAAAGCGAAGTCAGGGAGACATAACCACGCTGGCAAGGCTGTAGTGAGCAGATACTGTGTGTCCAGAATTTATGCTAATGGAAGAGAAGAAAAACAAAAAAACCTGTATTTTACCGAACCAACCAGCAGATAGTTACATTGGAAGCCACCGGCACTAACTGTAAACACAGCAGTTTAAGTAAGGATGGTATTATGACGGATTAGCCTTGTTGGAGATATTTTCATAGGAAAGAGAGAAAATGAGCCGGGCATGGGAAGTAGGAAGCGTTTGGTTAGACATGAGAAGGCACTGACACGAGTAGAGATGGTGAAAATGAACCTTTGGAATTTCGTGAAGAAATGCTTGACTGGAATGCAGGTCACTTAGAACTAAGATTCCTAAAGAAGACAGGACCAGGTTATGGACACCCTCCAAAGCTAAGTAGAGACCAGGGACTGGTGTGGCTCAGAATGCTTGTCTCTGATTATGTCTGTCTGAGGTGGACCCCAATACTTGCATTTCTAACAAGTTCCCTCCCAGGGGATGTTGCTGTTGCCAGTGGGTCTGCAGAGCACACTGAGCATGAGCCATTGGAGAACAAGAGTGAGAGACACTTGATCTTATAGTGGCAGAGGTGATGTGAGAGTTGTTTCAGAAGATGAAGTAAAATTAAGGCAGTGACTTACCTTTATCCATAGTTAGGTTGGTGATTTGGAGATTGGAGAGAAAGGATAGAGGAAAGGATTGTAAGGCATTTCAAAAGAAGATTTAGATAGATCTCGAGGAAATTTGAGAGTAGAAAAAAGCAAACTCAACTGCAGCTTCTTTCCTGAAAGAATGGAGATAAAGTGGCAGAGCATGAAGAGAGCAGTTTTAGACCTGTTGAATGTGAAATACAGTCAGTCCTCGGGTTACGTTGGACTCCACGTTTGTCGCTTCGTGGTTATGTTGCCATCTCCCATTAATTAAAAAAAAAAGTTCCATCATTTCGACATATGTACATATGAGCTTTATGTTATTTTTATTATTTATTTACTACAAGGGCAGGAATTGTTATCTTTTAAATTTGTTTTAGTGTTTCATTTCATTACTGCTGTGTATCTGCTCCATGTGAGTGACTTAGGTGCTTATGTAGGTGGGTTTCGACTTTTGGCGAAAATCGCATTACATCGCGCCATAGGAATGGATCTCCGACGTAACCCAAGGACCTACTTGTAATAACTTCTTGTCTTGAAGGCAGTTAGAAAAATGTAACCTGAACCTTGGAAGATGACAGTTGGGTGTGAATGAGGAAACAGCAGAGTATTGAATGGAAAAGGATCACTTTCCCCCACCTAAATATTTAAAACATCCTGAAATAGGATACTAAAATCCTTTAGTTCCTTATCTATATATATAAAACCCTAATATGCAAATAGACCAAACAGCAGAACAACTGGTCGCTATGAGGTGCGCTGACCACCAGGGGTTGTGTGCGGAACATGGCAGGTGTCGGCCTTGGTGGGATGGTGGAGCAGGTGAGCGGGGGTGCCAGACCAAGGCAGGGCGCTGGTCGCTGTCATTGGGGCAAGCCTCTGGTGGTTACTGAAAATTCTTTGCTCCGCATGCCGCGGTCCTGCCCAGCACTCGCACCTGCTGCCGGTGCTGGAGCCGCTGCTTGCACAAGGCGCCGGCCCTCATCGCATGGCATTGTCAGCAGGTGCAAGTGGTGGCTGCCAGCCCTGATCACCACTCCCTGCTCCTGAGGGGTGATCAGAGCCGGCAGCCACCTCTCGCACCCACTGCCAATGCTGGAGCTGCTGCCGGCACCCACTGCTGGTGCCAGCCCTACTCTCACCAGCAGCCGGTGCTGGAGCTGCCATTCGCACCTGTTGGTGGTGCCCAGCGCATGTCCCAATCACTCAGCGCCATCAATGGGTGCGAGCTGCGGCTGCCAGCCCTGAATGCCCCTGAAGGCTTCTCTATCTCCCCCTGCTCCTGAGGGGTGATTGGAGCAGCAGCTGCTGCCACTTGCACTCGCTGACAGTGCAGGTCCTGCTTGCACCTGCTGCTGGCGTCAGCCCCAATGGCTCCGCACCATCAGTGGATATGAGCTGCAGCGGCAGAAAGGGGACTGGGGGCCATGGCGGGAGGGGCCGGGCGGGGGTCGGAGGTTGGGCTGAGACCTGCCCTGTGCCCACTGCAGCCTTGTGGCCCACAGTTCCTTTCAAGGTGCATGAATTCGTGCACTGGGCCCCTAGTATGAAAATGATTGTTAATACAGTTATGATAAATGCAAAGTAGGAAATTTGGTTATTGACTTTTTATTTGGTTATTGACTTTTGGTTATTGACTTCTGTTTCTAGAGTGAAATAGTGTTTTATGATTCATGGGAAGATGTTAAGACTTTGGAGTCTCTTTAACTTTGAGTATAACGTTTGAATGAAAAATTCTTGTCGGTATGGTATGAGCCATACAATTTTTTGAGAGGGCTGACTAGAAACCCATACACTTTTAATCATTTTTCTGTTGAAGAAATATTTATTGAGTGCCCATGTTTCAGGTACAATTGAGGATTTTAGGTATGTGGTGGTTAATAAGAACAGGTGATTCCTGCTCTTACTGAATGTATAGTTTAGTGAAAGAGACAGATATGATTAAAATAATAATAGAAATGAGTCTTAATTACAATTGAAATAAGAGCTGAGAAGGGGAATAAACCTGGTCTTTTAAGAGCATATATCCATTAGACCTAATATAAAATGAGGAACCAGAGGAAATGACACTTTACCTGAGATCTGGAGAGCTTTCAGGGTAAAGGTATTGAATTATTCTAGTCAAATACCAATACTTTTAGGATAGAGTCCGATAGTAGAATTAAAAAGAAAGAAAAAGCACCTGTAATCCTACCACCATTAGATAGCGACTATTACTATTTTGAGAAAATTCCTTCTAATCTATGTGTTTTGTAAACTTGTATCAAACCATTTTAATATTTATTTATATGGTTTCCATTAACATATGAACATCTGTTTCCTCAAATGGACTTTAAAACATGATTACATATTATTCCATTGAATGGATATACCATTAATTTACAACTCTGCTGCAGTTGCACATTAAGATAGGTTCCAGTTAACACATAAATTTTCGCTCATATATGGATACCTTTTTATTATTAAATTTTTACTTTTTAAAACATATTAACTAATTTCGTCACACTCCTATTCAAAGCTAATAATTGCCTTTTGACTGAATCCCCCTTCCCCAAAGTGAATTAGTATATATTAATGCCTTTAAATTTTTTTCCTTATGGAATTATTTTTATTACTGTTAGCTAGTTTATATTTTTTTACGAATTAGACAGAAAAGTATGCTTTATAAACGGGAAATACCTGAGTCTAAGGAGACTCAATCAAGTATTTAGAAAAGACAATATTTGTGCCCAGTCAGGATTAATGCCTTGAATTTTAAAGAGGAATTAATTAGAAGGTTCAGTTGAATCATAAAAAGTGATTTATCATTACTGTCTTACAACAGAAATGTAAAAATTACTATGTAAGTCACTGAAGAAAAAACCTGATGCCTTGTATTTTGCTAGAATTAACTCTAATACTCTAGCAATACTATGTAGGCGTTTTAGTAGAGCAATGTTGTTGTTATATTGCATCATACTTATATAAGAAGTCAACTTCTTAGAGTAATAAGTCTTGAGAAAGTGTCTTTTAATATGTATTTAACATTACTGCTGAGATTTGACAGTTTTCATTTGCTAATGTTGAGCATATTGCTGGTCAAATTTGTTCTTTTTTTAAAATAGGTCTTTTGATCATTAGATTTAAAGATGTGAATAATTATAAAGTCTGTCAGTTTTTATAAGGAATTATAAAATCCTTAAAGCTGATAAATGTACTTGGATTTTCTTTCCAGCTGTTCCTTAAATTTTATTTTATTTTACTGAACAATGTGCCCAAATAATGTTTTCTTTTTGGGGAGGGGAGAAGGAATATCAGAATTTCTAAATCTTTAAAGGAAAAGTTATTAAATTAGTTATTTTGAAAATAGGGAAAATATTATGATTTCATAATTATCTTTAATAGTATCATAAAATATAAAAGCAGAATGCCTTTGTTGGATAAGCAGTATACTCAAAATCTAAGAATTCTTAAATTAAAGAAAATTATTTTCACTTTTATTCCACATTGTTAAATTAGACTAACAATATTAAACTTATGAGAGAGACTTCTGATAAAAATGTTAAAATATAAAAGATGCTTTTCTAAGAATTGTATAACAATAGTAAAAAATATGCAGTTACATATATAGAAAGGGTTTTTTTTTTTTTTTTTTTGCTCCTTCCTAGGTTTATTTCCAGAGTTGAAGAAATCTTGAATGACTGGAAACTGATTGGAAACTCTCTGGGAAAGCCACTTGAAAAGGTCAGATCTATTTGCTGGTGTCTCTAAATGAGTATTTATTTTGAAATTTCTAAACTTTGCTGCATTTGGTACATTTGAATTAATTTTTTTAAAGTTATGTATAATCTGTAAACATAAAATGGTATCTGGAAGAATTTGGATATGTGGCACATAATACATGTAAGGCTTTTGTGAACTGTCTTTCAAATAAAATTTTATAATTACAGTGTCATTCTTCATGAGTGATTTTGTTTCTCCTAATGTTTACTTCTTTCTCTCTCGCCTTCTCCCTTAGAATGTTAGAAAATCTTTTTTTTTTAAGTTTTAGTTGGTTAGAGAAATACTGCAGTTACCAACCTCTTGGGTAGAATATTTTGCTTAATTAATGAGGAAAAATTCTTGGTCTTAACAACCAACTGACTAATTAGCAGCCAGTTTTTACTCAATTTTTGTATTTTACAAATACCACTAATAACACTTGTTTTCCCCACTTCCTTTTGTTTTGTTTTTTTAATTTTGTAGATGTTTTGAGGATAAGACTAAATATTCAAAATTGAGGTGGAATTCTAATTCTAATCTTAAGATACTGGCGGGTTTACTCATAAACTATGCCCAAATGTTTACTGAAAAATGTACTCTGAGAATAAACCTAGATTTTTCTGTATTTTGATAAAGGGAACTAACTGTTTGGTTTAGGCTTATATAGATGCTTTGTTAGATTAATTATTTTGAAGCAAAATTGATTGTTTTTATTATAAATCTATCATTAGCCCTACTCGGTTTGTCTCAGTGGATAGACATTGGCCTGCGGACTGAAAGGTCCCAGGTTCGATTCCAGTCAAGGGCATGTACCTTGGTTGCGGGCCCATCCCCAGTGGGGTTGGTGCGCGAGGCAGCTGATTGATGTTTCTAACTCTCTATCCCTCTCCCTTCCTCTCTGTAGAAAATAAATAAAATATACTTAAAAAAAATAAATCTATCATTAACTGATTTATCCCTCTATAACAAGCAGTTCTCAACCTGTGGGTCATGATCCCTTTGGGGGTCAAACGACCCTTTCACAGGGGTCGCCTAAGACAATTGGAAAACACTTATATAATTACATACTGTTTTTGTGATTAGTCACTATGCTCTAATTATTTTAAATTTGTCACTATGAAATTGGGAGTCACCACAACATGAGGAACTGTATTAAAGAGTCGCAACATTAGAAAGGTTCAGAATCACTGCTCTATAAGGAAATCTCAGTTCTCAATATTTGCTAGGTTATTTTTCACCTTAATGGTGATGTTAACAGATTTTGAGACAATGAAAGCATTAGGATATTTTTCTTTAGCTATATGAATAGGAACAGGAAAAATAACACTAATATAGAAATCACATCATTTAAAGATATGCTGAAATGTATAGAGTAAATTGATTTACTATATTAAAATATTTTTATGATTACATTTTGAAATAAAGAAAATGTGAAGTTCTCAATCACAGATCATTCTATTCCATGTGAAACCAATACATACAACAATTGATACAGATGTCAATAAGATTAAAGGCAAAACAAGCTAGGTATAACTGGAATGAAAATTATTTGTACCACCAAAAAAGAGAGCTAAACCTGGTATTTGTGAGCTCTGATATCCCTCAATTATATGATTTACACATATATGCTGTGTGTCAGATCTGAAGAAATGGTGAGCAAGATTCATGTTCAGACTGAACATAAATTCACATGAGAGAGAGAAGTAATAAGTACACAAGACTGAAATTTTAGATACAAAATTCAGTTTGGGGATATGAGTTGAGTAATGAATTCAAAGTAGGTAGCATACTGACATACATGTAGTAGGGACTAAAGGAGTGTAACTCTCCAATTCCTTCCTTTCTATAGATTATAGTAAATAAAATGAGATATGGAAAACATGAAGAGATTTCAAGGTGAACTGTATAATAAGGTTAAAGAAAGTATAAAGGAACGGTGTTATTTAGCATAGAAAAGAAAGTTTAGGGAATGCCTTTATGAGATTTTACTTTATGTGAAAGACAGTGATGACCAATTCTCTTCCTTCATTGAGGCAGAATTAAGAAAAATTTTTTTTCAAAAACAGTTTTGAAAAATTTCAAACATAAATACGATAATTTATTGAACCCTCATGTGCCCATCACCCAGTTTCAATAAAGAATAATCTGCCATTTCTTGTTTCAGTAGTACCTTTATCACCTCCCCATCCCCACTAATTTTTTTTAAATAATTGATATTTGTGGGGTAAAATTTACATACATTGTAATGTACAAAACTGTTTAATTTTTACAGATATTTACATAACATTCCTCACTCAAGATATTGGATATTTCTGTCACCCCAGAAAGGCCCTAGTGACCCTTTCGAGTTAATTCTCATGCTCCTCACCCATGACCTCCAGGCATCTAATGTTGTTTTTTTGTTTTGTTTTGTTTTGTTTTTTACTATAGATTACTTTTGCCTGTTCTAGAAATTCATATATATGCTATCATAAAGCATATACTCTTTGTGTCTTTGTTTTAAAACAATTGTTTTAACATTGTTCTAAGTTATTGCATGTAACTTTATATTGTATGAATATACCACAAATTGTTTCACTTATTGGCAGATATATGGGCTAGCCTATATAATAAAGAGCTAATATGCTAATTAGACCCAACAGCAGAACGACCGCCCGGATGACCTTCTGGACAAAGTCGAGGCTGCGAGGGCTGGCTGAGGCTGCAAGGGGCTGTGAGGCCTGGCCGGGGCTGCGAGGGCTAGCTGAGGCAGCTGGAGCTGCGAGGGCTGAGATCCCCTGCACAAATTTTGTGCTTTGGGCCTCTAGTCTATATATATATATAAAAGCCTAAGCAACTGACTACTGGTTGCTATGACGCGCACTGACCACCAATGGGCAGACGCTCAATGCAGGAGCTGCTCCCTGATGGTTAGTGTGCTCCCACAGCCAACCTCCTGTGGCTGGCCAACTTCCTGTGGTTCCTCCCCCTGGCTGGCCCAATTGGCCCTGATTGGGACTGGGCGAGATGGCCCGACAAGCTGAGGGACCCCACCCATGCATGAATTCGTGCACCGGGCCTCTAGTTATGAATAAAGCAGAACATTCTTGTATGAGGCCTTTTGGTAGACATGTTCTTACTTTTCTTGAGTAAATATTTAGGAGTGGATTTATAGGGTCATAGGATAGTGTATGCTTTGTGCTTAACTATAGTAAACTGCTGAAACTTTTTGTACCATTTTAACTCCTCACCAGCAAATATATGAGAGTTCAGGTGGCTCCACATTCTCACCAACAATTGGTTTTCAGTCTCATAAATTTTAGTCATCCTAAATGGGTATGTAGTTTGTGGAACTAATTTGTATTCCTCATTCTGGTTTTAATTTTTATTTCTGTGGTGAATATTGGTAGCAAACACCTTTTCTTATATGCTTACTAGAGGCCTAGTGCATGAAATTTATGCACGGGGGTGGGGGATGTCTCCCTCAGCCTGGCCTGCACCCTCTCTAATCCAGGACCCCTCGGGGGAATATCCGACTGCCTCTCGCAATCCAGGACCGCTGGCTCCTAACCACTTGCCTGCCTGCCTGGCTGATCGCCCCTAACCCCTCTGCCTACCTGCCTGATCGCCTCTAACTACCTCTGCCTGCCTGCCTGATCGCTCCTAACTGCTCCCCTGCTGGCCTCATCACCCCTAACCACCTCTGCCTCCCCCCACACCTGGAACCCAGGATTCTCTCCTCTAGCCAGTCGCAGGCACCTGGAACCCGGGCTTCCCTCCCTCTGGCCAGCTGCAGCACAGGCGCCCGGGACTGTGGGGTGGGCAGCTTGTTCCTTTCCCAGAGTGCAGCCCCAGCCGCTGGTGCCTGGGACCACTGGGCGGGCGGCTTGTCTTTCTCCTGGGCTGCAGGCACAGGTGCAACCGCTGGCACCTGGGACCGCAGTGCGGGCAGCTTGTCCCTTTCCCAGGCCGCAGCCTGGCTTGTCTCCGTTCCTCTCTCATGAGCTCATTTGTGCCTGGCTGGTCCCATTATTCTCTCCCCAGTGTTGAGTGTCTGAGCTGTTACAGCGTGATGGCGTGATGGTGTGATAGCCATTGCATATTAGCTCTTTATTATATACAATATTATATAGGATAACCCATTTTATGTATGTCTGTGAAATGTCTGTTCACGTTTTTTTGTACATGTTTTAAGTTGGGTTGAGTTTTTATTGAGTTGTGAGAATTCTTTTAGTTCTTCTATATATTCTGTTTTTAACTCTTGACTCAGTAGTTTTGCTAGGTTGTCAAGATATTCTTTGTATGTTTTCTTCTAGAACAGTGATGGTGAACCTATGACATGCGTATCAGAGGTGAAACGTGAACTCATTTTTTTGGTTGATTTTTCTTTGTTAAATGGCATTTAAATATATAAAATAAATATCAAAAATATAAGTCTTTGTTTTACTGTGGTTGCAAATATCAAAAAATTTCTATCTGTGACACAGCACCAGAGTTAAGTTAGGGTTTTTCAAAATGCTGACACGCCAAGCTCAAAAGGTTCGCCATCACTGTTCTAGAAGCTATCATTTTAGCTTTTATTTAGGTCTGTGATCTATTTTTTAACTAATATTTGTATATGATATGAAGTGGAGAATTAATTTTTTACATATGGATATCCTATGTATTGTAGCATCTTTTGGGAAAAAACACTTCTTTGTCTATTGAATTGCTTTGTTGCATTTGCCAGACAGTTAACTGAGGGGGGTCATCTTCTGGAATCTGTATTCTGTTCCATTAATTTATTTGACTACCTTGATGTACTAAGTTGTCTTGACTACTGTAACTTAGGGTTTCCCAAAACTTGGCATCACTAAAATTTCGGGCCAGATTGTTGTGGGGTTGTACTGTGGATATGTAATAGTAGTGTCCCTTGCCTCTACCTATTAGATCCCAATAGCACCCTCCCAGGGATAAAAATAGAAATGTATCTTGTCATTGTCAAATGTCCCCCAAGGGACAAATTGCCCCTAGTTGAGAACACTAACTAGCTTTATAGTAAGTCTTGACGTTTGTTTGTGTAATTTCTGCAGCTTTTGTTGTTTTCCCAAGATTATTTTGTCTATTCTAGGCTCTTTATGTTTCTATTATGAATTTTAGAATAAGCTTGTCAATTTTTGTAAAAAGGATGATTATGCCGGGGCTATGATTAGGATTGTGTTTAATTTA